AATAGAATAGAGTAGAATAGAATAGAAAATAATGTTATTCTGGGACGAAGTCCCCCATTCAGAATAACAAAAAATTACAAAATTAAAATGTACAATAATACATTTAAAAGACATTTTACTAAAATTGTTTACTTTAATTTTTTTTTTTTACATCTTTATACTAATCATAATTTTGTATTTTTTTAAATGAAGATGAATTTATTTTAAATGTATTTGTTAAAAAAAATCATAATTATGATTAAATGAGCAGTAGAGAGAGGAGGAATGAAACAATGAGTCGGTGTTACAATAAATGGCATAGTGTTATCATAGTTGATATAGTAGTATTAACTAGTAGTATCATTGTAGTTAATTAATCTAATTTAGAGTTCAGTTAACCGTTAGTGATACAGTGTTATTACGAGTGTAGGCAGCCTTGAAAGTATATTACCTATGAATCTTCTTGGTCATTGGTCATATATTAAAAGCCAAATCAAAAGGAAAATAAAAAAATAAAGATTTTATATAAAAAATCCAAAGTACCTCTATCGTTTTGAATTTGTCTTGAAGAGACAAATAGTTATTTAAAGTTTGTAATTATTGGAATCACTAGCGGATCCAGGATTTAATTTTTTTGGTGGCTTTAGTCCGATTGCTTTTTTTTTTTCATATATATAAAACAATAATTACTTTGGAAAAAAGAAAGAAACTAATCATCTCTATGAAATGGTGTTTAAGGGATTCGTGAAGTCCTATTAAATGTAATTACACGAACAATAATACTTTAAGAGATAATATTTTTTTTCATAAAATATGGTTATATTTTAATATTTTGGGAGTGAGGGAGGAGGGTTAGGCTGAGAGATTTTCCACCTCTCTTCCTCCCTCCCCCCTCTCCCGTAGATTCGCCTGTGATTGAAACTGAATGTATAACAAAGTATTAAAATTTATAAATTTTACACCAATTCAAGAAAACAAAAATTCAAGAAAAATTCATCTGTTTACTGTACACTGACAACTAGATTGATATTGCTGTACTTCATCTGCATTTTATCTAAACAAGATATAAAAATAATGAAAGTATTAGGAGTACGAGAATTACAGGATGATATGACGATATTATTAAATTTTGATTATTCTTACTCTTAAAGTAGTTTCATTTTGTTTGTATCTTTTCATTAAGCACCAGTGATGAAGAAGATTTTATATTGTTGGTACAAAGGTCTAGGGTCCCTTAATTATTGCATCTCAAGACTTGATGATCTCTCCTCAGACCATAGTCCCCTAATCCTAACGGTTTCCACATCACCGATTCCCAAACCACCTCCACCTTCATTTATCAGGGGGCCAGTTAATTGGAACCTCTTCCGTCAATTGCTGGATGATAATATTGACCTCAGAGTTTCCTTAAAAACACCTACAGACCTAGATGAAGCAGTACATTCCATGACTACGTTGATCCAACAAGCAGTTTGGACTGCATCTTCACCTGATCCTTCTAAAAAATACCGCAAAACAAATCCTCTACCCCAAGACCTACTGGACCTTATTAATAGAAAACGATGCTCTAGGGCTATCTGGCAAAGAACCAGGCATCCTGATGATCGGAAATCATATAACTACTATTCCAAGCAAGTAAAACAAAAACTGACCACGTTTAGATCCCAATCCTATAATTCCCATCTTTCCTCACTATCTGCAAGTGATAACTCCATCTGGAATGTAACTAAAAAAATCCTTAAATTCCAATCCATTTCCCACCCCCTCCGCCGTGATGATGGTTCCTGGGCTTCGTCAGATGAGAATAGAGCAGAAGAGTTTGCTAAACATCTATCGTACACATTCACTCCTCATCCTGAACTCCATCCCTCCCATACTGCTGAAGTTAAAGAGTTCCTCTCTTCACCGATTCCTCTCTCCTTACCTCCTACAGCCGTCAACCCCTCTGAGGTCAAATTCCTTTTAAAGAACCTAAAACCTCGCAAATCTCCAGGACACGATCTCCTTACTTCCCAGATCCTCAGACAACTTCCCAAAAAAGCAATTATATTCCTTACATACCTATTCAACTGTATTCTTCGCACAACCTACTTTCCTCTGATGTGGAAACACTCCATAATTATCCTCTTTCCTAAACCAGGTAAACCTGTTAATTATACATCATCCTATAGACCGATAAGCCTACTTCCGATCCTTTCCAAAATCTTTGAGAAAATCCTTCTCAAACGCATCCTACCCATACTCGAATCCCACAATATCCCACCCCATCAGTTTGGATTCCGCTCAAGACACTCCACTGTCCAACAAGGCCTTCGCGTTGTCGACCACATATCCTCTGCACTTGAAAACAAGCAATATTGCACTGGTGCCTTTCTGGACGTAGCTCAAGCTTTCGACCGGGTGTGGCACGATGGCTTGCTTTTCAAACTCAAAACCCATTTACCTCAACCCTTGTACCTAGTCCTCAAATCCTACCTTTCAAATCGCTCCTTTCAAGTCCGCTGCGGCACTGAACTCTCCAAACATTATCCAATTGAGGCTGGTGTTCCACAAGGCAGTGTCTTGGGCCCAGTTCTCTACATCCTTTTCACCGCTGACATCCCTTCAAGTCCTGATACCTTCCTAGCAACTTTTGCTGATGATACTGCCATCCTATCCTCTCACTCGGATCCTCTAATAGCGTCTCAGAACCTGCAAAGACACCTTTTCTTCATTGAGCAGTGGTGCAACAACTGGCGCATCAAAATTAATGAATCAAAATGCAAGCATGTAACTTTCACTCTTCGACGCAGATCCTGTCCACCAATCCGTTTTAATTCAATTCCTCTTCCCTACTCAGACACAGTCCGATACCTTGGCTTCCTTTTGGACAAAAGACTGACTTGGAACCCACATACCAGACTTAAAAGACAAGAGCTTAACCGACGATTTGGTCAGCTATATAGACTACTAAACAGAACATCTCATCTCTCAACAGAAAACAAATTATTAATCTACAAGACCATACTGAAACCTATCTGGACCTACGGACTTGAACTGTGGGGGACAACTAAATCATCGAATATCAAACGCATCCAATCCTTCCAGTCCAAAGTCCTTCGAACAATAGTCAATGCTCCATATTATGTCACGAACAAGACCCTACACCATGACCTTAACATCCCATATGTCCATGACATCATCCCATCCAGATTCTCCAACTTTCACCAGAACCTCATTCATCATCCCAATCCTCTAGCGCAATCCCTATCCAGCTCCGAACATCCATACCATCCCCCTCGAAGGTTGAAACGGCAGTGGCCTCGAGATCTTTTGTAAATATGCCTTTGGAGTCCTGGCAATGGCCAGCTTCTCCACTCATGTCCTGAGCGTCTGTGGCTGTAGTGCCCTCTTTCAGTCTCCATTGGCTTCTAATACTAGTGATGCAGCTGGAAAAGTGGCGCTGGGATCTCCCGGAGTCTTGCTTGGCCTTCCACGTATGGAAGAAAAAGCCTGGCTCGGAGATTCTTGGGCAAATGTATATATTGTATATAGGTATGATTGTGTTTAGAAATTTTTATTTTATTTTATTTTTATTTAACTTCTTCACCAGTATTATTTATTTACTTATTATATTTATATTTATTTCTTTATTATTTGTATATATTGTATGAATGAGAACTTGTAGCCCTAATGCTTATAGCCCTCCAGCAGTGGCTGATTGTATTATTATTCAATAAACAGATTAAAAAAAAAAAAAATATTGTTGGTTGTAACTTCGTCTTCAAACAAATATTTTTAATTCATAATACCATTTTTTCTTCTTGATGATACAGTTGAGTAGGCAAAAAGTACATATAATTATAATTAAAGTAAAATATAATTTTCGCTTGGTTATTGAAGCTGAAGGTATTATATATAATGCATTTCTTTAATATCATTAGATAAAAAATTTCCTTTCGGTATCCCTGGAATCTTTATTTGAATGATATATGTTTTCAAATATTTATTATTAGTAATTATGATTTCTCATTCTCAATATTTTTTTATTTTGTTTCAAGTTGAAGTTTCAGGAAATTAATACAGTTCATTGTTGTATTCGTATAATAGTCGCTTAAGATCAGTTTAAAAAGTCCTTCCTAAGCTTGGAGGGACGCCAGTTTGGAGCGCCTACCGAAGTTCAGGTGCGCTCACAACGTATTGGAAATTAAAAAAAAAATACGAAGCGTATTAAAATAATTAATTTTAGCTTATCCATAAAGAAAATGTGTTAGAGAAATGTTGCCTGAAATAAAATTCAAATATTTCACAATATAAAACCACTTAAGAAATAAATTTATAATTTTTGTTTAAGGGGGATGGGAGAGGAGAAGACGTCATTGTACGCAGGCGACGAATATTTAAGGCCGGCACTGCTGTAGATAGATTCATCCACCTGCTTATTTGTTGTACTGACTACTTCTAAAATTAGAATATTATTATTTTTTTTTGTATCAGATACATCGAAATATATATTTATTTATTACCTTTATTAAATATTACAGTTATTTTAAAGTATTTAATATTCTATGCACAGTACAACTCTTTTTTTATACTTCATGTTTTTTTATTTGTATTTATTTAACATGATGATAAATACTACTATTATTACTTTCTATTTATTATATGTTTCCTAATTATGTATCACCTCTATGACAGGTTTTATTATTTCAATGAATAATATCTCTAAAAATATTTCTCTTGCAAAAAAATGTAGTCTTCTATATGCAAATAAAAATATATTTCTTATTAAATTAAATTGCTACAGAAATTGTTTTAGAAGCCCAATAGTACTTAATTAGCATTATTTATTTATTATTAAAAGAACATAATGAAATCAATAAGACATCATTACTGCACCATTATCAAAGGAACAAACTTTATTTAAAATTTAAAAAATAGGCATATTTACATTTAAATACAATTTAAAGAAATCACTTCCATTTCAAGCTTCCATTTTAATACCTAGAGATAAATCACAATTCATGAGTTCTATTGCAAAATTAGCAGACCTTTTGTACTCTTCTTGGTTCTAAGGTAATTTCGAACTTGTCTGACCTCTTGAGAATGATATCGGCTTGAAGCTGCCAATCCTTCATTGGCTTTCCTTGTTTGACGCGGAAATTTCTGAGAATGTTAGCTAGAAGAATTTTGAGCTTGAGCATAGCGTACTTACGTCCTGTGAACAACATTACGAATCATTGCAATTGTTCCTTATGTAATTTATAGCGTATCATTGTAATATATTTAATTTACTGACCTACGCAACTCCTTGGTCCAGCACTGAAAGGTACGAAGGAGTAGTAATGTCTGTTGACAGCGTTCTCGGGGAGGAATCTGTCGGGATCGAAGTTATCCGGGTCTACGTAGATGTCGGCGCGCCTGTGGAGCTTGAATGTACCAATCACTACAGCGCATCCCTTGGGCAACAATATGTTTTCGGACACTGTGGAGAAGAGTTCAAATAAGACTTGATGTATTTGTTGTAATATATGTATGACAAAAGTGTTATAATATTTAACTAAAAATACAAATTGCAGAGAATCAACTTAAAGAAGAACCTTGTGAGCTGAATTTAGATCGGAATGTTTCGTCTTCAGAGCAAACGAAAGGAAAGCATTTTCCCTTTATATAACTTTGAACAGCAGCCAAGTCAAATAGCCGCCATCTTATAGATTTCTTTTTTACAACAATTTACATACGAATTATTAAGGATAATAATTACTTAATTGGACGTCTTGTTCAAGCTCTCTTGCGATGAGTGGCACTGGAGGGAAGAGCCGGAGAGTTTCCATGATACATCTCTCCAAGTATTTCATTTCAATGGTGTCTTGGAAGGTGACTGGTCTGTCCGAATCTCCGAAAATGGAATCAATTTCTTCGATGCATTTAGCCTGAAATGTATCGTTCTCGTTACGTTATATTAATTAAATTGTAGACCAAGGGAAGACAAGATCTTATAGTATTTAAAACTAATTTGTGACACTGTGTTTAATATCCATTCATGTAATAATTCAAAAATCTCCCACTATCATTATCACAATATTGCCACTCAGCCCAGACACCTGATGTCCATATTCCACCCACCAATCTCCGAAGATTGTAATGAAAGCACACAACTACTAGGGTTTATGTGCTAATAAATCACTGATATTGCAGCAAATCACATGGGATGGGACATGATAGTTCGTATTATATGTTAATATTTGGTATTATTATTTGGATAGTATAATTCCAATGATACATTAAGTAGGATATTGTTGGAAATATAAAGTGGAGTACTGATTGTAGTTGAATGACATTGCTGGTTTGAGTATTTTAATGTCTTCCTTATATTTAAAAAGCCGGTTTATTTTATTTAAGTTAATTACTGCATAATTTCTATTTATTTTGGAAATTCTTTGACTTCTCTGAGAATCTAGAGAAGGTGTTTTTGTGGTTTAGGGAACAGTCCGTGGTACAGTCCCCTTTTTTATCCTCCTGAAACTTAGTAAATAACTTCATCTTATCGTAACCTAAAAATATCTTATTTGCGAAAATTCTCGGAATTGGGAAGTTTTCAATCTGGAGATCGTCAAACTTTGTTTACTTAATGAAGTACTTAAAACTCGTAAATACCCATTTGCTTTCCACTTGAATCGTAAGCTGATTTGATCACAAAATCGAGAAAAAAGGTGGCATACAAAAATATTAGGCCGTTTGGTCATGCCGAACGGCCTAATATTTTTGTAGACCACTTTTTTTTCTCGATTTTGCGATTCAAGTGGAAAGCAAATGGGAATATACGAGTTTTTAGTACCTAATTAATAAGACAAAATTTGACGAACTTCAGATTGAAAACGCCACAATTTCAAAAGTATTTGTAAATATAATATTTTTCGGTTATGATGAGATGAAGTTTCAGAACGATGGTTATAATTTGGTAAAAAAGGTTCTGTACCACGAAATAGAATGACGATTTGTAAATATCTGGGAAAAAAAAATGGTTGTTGTCAAGAAAGTGAATAGCCAATGAATATGAATTACATAAACGTTAATTTAAACAAATAATTTACCTGAATATCTTGCCTATCGCCCATCACGCACAAGAAGAAGCTGCTGCCAGCAGCGGTTGTGTCGTGGCCCTGATAATTCAATGATATATATTTTAAATACATATTTTATTTAAATGTACTCCGCAATATGAATAATAATTAAATAAATATACCTCGAACATGATTGTGTTGACTTGATCTATGATATCCTGATCAGTGAGTTTGTCTCCGTTTTGAGATCGGTCGATTAGAGATTCCAAAAATGGAAGCCTTTTCTTTTCACCTATCATTCAAGATTAATATTTTTAAAAAATAACTTAAGTAAATGTATATCTGTGCCTTATAAAACGACTCAATGTTCAAAATCTTTAAATTGATTTTAATTATTCGAAAAAAATCAAGTCAAGGTAAACATTAAAGGCTCATCACACAGACTAGGGAATGTATCGGCATTTTTGCCTGCGACGATATGGCGATAAAGTTGTGTTATTATCTATTGCACCATACCAGTCACACAGAGCGCGATAATCCTCAGCGATACAGACAAAGGGTATCGTATCGCCGGTACATATCGCGTTCTGTGTGTAGGAGGCTTAATTGTTGAGAGCCAATTTTACTTCACTTTTACTTATGTTAGTCTCAAAAATTAATATCGAGAGAACATTTCTCCTTTTTGTTCTAAAATAAAAGATATGATGTTGAATGAAAAACAAACAAACACATACAATGTGTAAGATCTAAATTTCTTAGTACCTATTTCGTTATCATCATCAAGATCGTCTTTAAGCCCTGCAGCCTGACCATAAGAGAACTTCTCATCCGAATGAGTTTCGATTTTCGTTTCCACTTTCGTTTCTTCCTTGACGTCTTCCTTTGTCATAGTGCTTTCTTTTGATTTATTTTTAATGCAGTCCTCCTTCTTTGTGTTGAAAACCTTAAGAGAGATAATGAAATTATAAGCTAAATTGTTTATAACATCAACTCGGTTAGAATTGCATTTGTCATTAATTATTACCCTGTTTGTCAAATTAAAGATGTTTTGTAAATTACGATCCCATTCCTTTGACATGTTAGTCAATTTAAACAAATACTCAGGCCTGTACCATGGACGGGTATGCCTGGTGTGGAGGATGTCACAAAGACTAAAAAATACATAAAGTTTACATTATATTAAATTACATTATCATCGCAATTATTAATTTTTTGTTGAAAATAAAATCTGACTTACTCCATAACAGAATGAGCATATGAGAAGCACTCTCTGTTTTGGGATTCTTGTTTTACTCCCATAACGGTTTCTTTGGAAATAAAAATACGTAGATTAGAAAAATAAAATAAAGTAGACTGATTTGTAAATTGGAATATGTAATATACCTATCAGTGTTTCAACCATAATTTCGCTCATGTAATCGTGGCAGTCAAACATTTTGCCATTTTCTTTTCTCATTCGTTCAATGACGCGTTGGGAGTTTCTGTTAAATTCATCCATAAACCTTTTCAAAATATTCAAATGGAAAGTTGGTGCAATCATTTTCCTCTGATGTCTCCAAGTTTCACCTAATCACATTGAAAGAAATATATTTCTCATACGCAATTTAGCTTACAGTAATATAGGTATATATAAGTTGTTTAAGGTAAAAATTACGAATGGACAAATTACTATGTAATAAAAGTAGAATCCTTTCGGCAAAAGAAGTAGAGTCTTTCGCTACTTTTTAAATATTTTATTGGCTAGAGGAGTTAAAAAAATTTTACATGTCCCTTAAAAATAGCTTATTTGTATTTTCGTATGTATACATGGGGTTCATTTTAAACATTCATAGTATGCTTGTGGACAGCACAAAAATAAATTTAACCTTTCACACAAGTAATAATTGAATTCATAGTTTTGCCATAGAACGGCCAATGTATTAAATAAACAATTAAATTATTATCCCCAAGAAAATAAGGGTAGAAATGGAGCTTACCACTGCTGATGAGAAGTCCGTTTCCAAACCATGGTTCGAACAGCTTGTACTCTTGAGATTTCTTGAGATGAACATTGCTGCTAAGAATGATCTATTTGTGTTTAAAAAAGAAAGACAAAAAAATATTAAATCCCTTTTATTTACGTAATTCAAATGAAAATCAGTATGATGACGATTTTTAATTTTAGGTATTTTATAGACATTTTTACGAGTGATTAATTGGTTTAATCCAAAGGTATGGGACCCCTGGAACGCGACCGTGCTGTAAATTTTGTATTCTTAATTTTGTTATTAAAAAAATTATAATTTTTTGTTCTGGAATGAAAGGATATTTTAGAGTCGGCATGCTCGATGTAGGTAAAAACATAGGTTATTTCATTACCTTCATACATTTTACAATACATATAGTTACTAACTGTACAGATATATTCTCAAAACTTATATAAAAAAATATTAAATTAATATATATAGAATATTAAATTCATAATTTCTATGTGATAGGATTATTGTCCACCCGCAAGACATGCCCTTCTACGCATAATCTTGCAAGTTTAATAAGTTGGTACACTTTATTAAATAATGGCTTTGTTTCTTTGTCCTCCTCAAAATCATGGCTTTTCTTCGCCACCTTCGAATGTGTCTCATAGAATTCTCCTTTCAAATCTGAGAAAAGATCTTTCTGAAGCATTGGTGTTTTAGGCTACAACGATTTGTGTCTTTTAGATTCTTGTTTTGGTTTTCTTCGACAATATGTTGCTACTAAGATGCCTTTGGAGAGAAAGGTTGCTCAAAAGAAAAGAAGCTAATGTCGGCTGCAAATATGAGGACTTACATATGTAATAGAAATTTTAAATTTCGGAAACATTTTAATTGGCAATTGCTACTTTCCTGTCCACCTCACAGTCGATAATATTTTTTTAATTGATCTCTGTACTGTATAAAAATAATTATTACAATTAACTGATATAGTTCAGGAGAGGGAAAATGGTGCCATTATGACATGCTTGCTTTCAGATTGGATTTAAATTTTTTTTCTGTACTATTGATATTAATATGGGCTTAGAGTTGTTTTGTTTGTCTGTTATTTCGCCCGTTTATCCTATATATAACCTTTAAATATGTTGGAGAAACAAATATCTCATGCTTGAATTAGGCTGTTTATTATTCGAAATTTCTGTTCGTTATCTCTATTCCTAATTTTCGTGTAGTCAAAATTAATTCTCGAATCTACATGTATTAACATAATACTTTCATACAAAAATATTTATCATTTTTACTACAACCATTTAAGTGTAAATAAGAGGTTCTGGATTAAGTCAACAAAACTTAAAATTTTAGAAATATTTGCATTGTTTGAAAGATTTACATCACTTCCCATTTAAAGGATAGTAAATAACAGCATTTATTTATGTTCATCCACAAGATATTCAGATTTTTTTTTTCAATGTTAGAAAATCTATTTATTTGTTTTGATTTTAAATAAAAAATTTTCCTAATCAATTAATTAGTTAAAAACTGAAAAAATCAGATTTTTTTTTTTTACTTAGGAAAAAAATAACGCTGTTTAAATGTTTAGATTTTTTTATATAAAATTAAAAAAATGTTAATAGTTGCTGGTTTTTACCTCAACGTCTTTTGGGTGAACTAAACCAACCACAAGTCTTGATCCTAACCATAACTTAGCTACATTTTGGTACTCAGGTATAAAACTCAAATCATAGATATATTTCAATAGTGCTGAAAAAAAAATTAGAAAATTGGTTAGTATACTGAGTTTTTTAAATACAATTTATATTTTATATATAAAAAAAATTGTTTATACTGATTTTTTAAAATATAATTTATATTGTATAAAATACAAAACATAACTTACTGTTATGATTCTTTAAAATTGAAAACGCTTTGCTGGCAAGTGGCAATAGTTCAGGTCCTGGGATTTTCTCTGCAAGCTCGTACAACCGCTTTCTTTCTGACCGCCATTTAATATAATATAAGGTTGCTGCTGTCACGACCAAAAAAGTAAAAACTGCTATCATTCTAGAAAATGATACAATAAAAAAATCAGCGGCATAAAAAAAACGAGTATTATGTGACTATAATACGACAAAAATATATATTATGATAAAATAATTAGGTTATAAACACACGCTAGACCTCTTATTAATACAAATAAGGTATAATTCTAACTAATATAATAATTCTAACCAAATATATTGAAATACATATATTAATAATCATGATATTTCATTATGTTATAGAATATATTTTGAGATCATACTCCACGATAGTCACTAATTTTACAAACGAATCTATTAACAGTTTTTTACTTATTTTTATTTTTTTGTATAGAGCACGTATCAGTATCTATACAAATAACAAATCATCGATATATCCACAAATTTAACTTTCTATAAAAAAACGAGAAGGAGTAAAACTTATATATACTTAGCTCTTCATATTCCTATTCGTTAAATTGGCTTTATTTCCTTTAAACTATGTGTGTACCTGACCCTTCAAGAATTGAGAGATAAACTATTTCAGGGGTAATTATTTCAACCGAGAATTATTTCAATCTTAATATCATTCATCTATCGCTGGTAATGAAAAAAAAAATATTCTGTTATATCAAGTTGTGAATTTCAAAACCCTTCATGTGTTTTAGTTGTGCAAGTTATTATTATTTTTTTTTAAGTGAAAACTTCTTTAGGAGCCTTTTAAACTTTTTTTTGTGGACAGTGAATTAGATTGAGCCGTCAGATCTCCGATATGTAACGCTTGGGTAAAAACCGACTGGAGTCGACTAATTTAAGGAAATGGCTTTGCATATGGATTAAAATAACTTAAAAACTAAAAATTGGACCTGCATATTGTTAGCGAAGGATATGTTCATCATTTCATCCTCTTTGTATTGAGCTATTACTCCAAATTGTATTTTAGGAGAGGCGAAAATGGAAAAATAGTGTCTAAAACCCAATTATAAAGAGTTTTATTGAAGATATGGATTAAAATATCTCAGAAACTAAAAATCGGACCTGCATACGGTAAGCTAGGGAACTGTCCAGCATTTAATCATCTGTGTAATGGGCTATTATCAAGTATTGTAACTTAACTCGGCGCCGTGTTTCAGAGCTCAAAAGTCATAACATAGTGTTGAAAACTAAATTATAACGAGTTTTATGGAAGATATCGATTAAAATACCACAGAAACTAAAACTCGGACCTGCATACTATAAGCGAGAGAAGTTTTCATCTTTTCATTCTCTTTAAAATGAGCTATTATTTATAATTTATATTTCATATTATTGATATCGCCTTTTTGATGTTTTCACTTCTATTGTGTGGCCTAAAACACATACCATAGTTTTTTTTTCTCTAAGAACATTTAATAGTTTAATCTTCAGGTAGTACATTTTTTATATAGCTTTCGATGTTGTTTGGTTTCGTAGAAAACTATAAAATCAATTTCTAAAATAATATCAATTAAATAAGAGAAAATCACCTCAAACAAATAATCTAAAAGAATTAATATATTTCTTTTAGAAATATTGCAGTATTTTATTTCCCGCTATTACGAAAATTTAAAAAGTTTTTATTTTTTTATTATTTTTTGTAAACCACGATATTTAACCCCTCAATTCAAAGAAAAAATAGAAACGTTTATATGGCCAAAAAAGTGCTATTTAATTTTTCGGCTACTTACTTTTTGTTGTTTACAGAACTCCCAAACCTGACTGACACTTCCAATAGCCACCTTAGGTATTTATAGTATTAATGCCTAATTCGTCATAATGAAATGTTAATCATGAGGGGCGATGCTTCGGAAATGTTAGTTTGCGTAACTGATTATTCAGGTGACTAGCGATTTTCTAATACGTTTGTACTGTCTTCTTCTTTATAACAGACATATCAGTTTCATTTGAAGTTATTATTTTAGATCTCAACTTTACTATGTATAAATTATAAATAGTTTGTTTATTGGTTATTTGGAATTTTTCAGACTTATTTTAGAAACGCAATAGTGTTTTATTATATGAAACATTATTTTTTTTTTATTAATTAGACGATGAAATAAAGATCTATTTTTTTTTTTATTATATTAATCTATACAATTTTATAGCTTACTAGTGGGGGATGGGAAGGGAGTACCATCTGTCCCAATGGCGGACCAACCCCATTTAACAGATTATACAACTGTTTATTTAATTGTACTACTCGTTCAAATTATATAAGTTGTATCTAATTTACATGTGTTCTGTGGATCACATTATATTATTTTCTTAATATAGTGTAAGCAGGAAAAAAATGAATTCGAAGTCTTTATCCCAGCATTTTAATTTCTTGAGATCGAAAAATAAAATATAACACGGGCACCAAACACATTTTTTATATAATACAGAGAATCTCAGCATTTTAATGCCTTGACACAGGAAAATGAAATATTACACGTTCTTTTTTTTCTTATCTTCCATTTTATTTTCAACTATTACAAATATATTAGTACAAACATTGTATACATATATATCTTTGTCAAGCTTTGTCCTTACACTGCCCTATGACATTTTAAGGAGTTACACAGTCAATAAAATTTTTTTATATAATAGAGAATATCCCAGCAGTTAATTTTGTGTTGAGATTGGAGAATAAAATATGACAGCTACTAAAAACTTTTTAATATAATAAGGAGGCGACTCTATTACAGTGAATAAAAAAATATATACATGCTCCCTCTGTGGTATTCTTTTATCTGAGTTAAAATATCTAGTTTATTTAAAACAAAATTCAAAATGTCAGTATAAATAATATTAATAACTTGTATGTACTTGTATTCATTATTCTCTTCATTCCTTTAATTTCTTTTAATATTATTCAAATAAATAAATAATCTAAATTTAATGATTTTGTAGTCAATGCTCAGCGCCTAGCAATATCGTTATTAGTAACATCTGGGTGAAATATCGTGCTTAACCTGCATAAACACCACACTGAGAGTGAGTGATTCTAGCTGGCGGATATAAAAATGGTCACTAGAGGGTAGGAGGGAAATAAAATACCTTTCGCATACCTGATATGCACGGAAAAAGTATCTCGTATAATAAAAATACTATGGGGTACTATGAGACATCCTAAGCTATAGGTTTTTAGTTTTCCCAGTCTGAGAAGGCGAAATTTCTGATGAAAATTGATGGTCTACAAATGGTTAGGCATCCAGCCAAGGCACAATAAGCAAACGGTGAAATAAGAAAAGTTTGTAAGAGAAAATCAGAACCATTTCAATTCTTTGGAGAGGAAGAAATAGGTTTAGTTACCGTCAAATTCACATGAAAAGACTACCCGAAGAAAGTGGTCAAAGGCGTTTGAACCTAGGAAATATCGTCTTCTAAAGGCAAGTGCTACAGAGTGATATGTGGCAGCCTCTAAAGCTTCTATAGAGGAAAATGGCAAACTATTGACATGAAGAAAAAATACAGTGGGATGCAATCCGTTTTAAAATCATCGAGAGTGGATGGGATGCCAATAATCAAAATCTTGATTGGATGCTAATATTAAACATTTAGGAAACTAGGGGCTTTGATAGACCTCCGGAAGGTCCTAGAAAATCCACTTCGACATAGAAAACAGCTAGACATGGTGGGCCAGCCGTTATAAAGCCTCTTTATTGGATAAGAAGGTCCAAAATAAATAATTGGTTGGCTGCGAAAAATTCTAAATTCGAGAAATACTAAAAATATAGTAGGAGAGCAGTAAAGTCACTGTCTTATAGTGTGGTTACATCACCAAAGGAATCTTGGTTAATGATAAAGCAAACCTAGAATCCATTTGGCGAGAAAGGGTGACGAAACAGATATAGTTGCAATATGAGATGTATTAAAAGACTAGATATGCACTCACTCTCCCAGGCCGGGGTACTGCCATTAAACACTACGTGACACAAGCCTTTTCCCTCAAAAAAGAAACAGCTCTTGGCTGGCAATCCATGTGGAATGAGAGCCCATCGAGCAAATTGAAGGAAATAAAAAGATCAGTAAAACCATGGTCCTTCTCGAACCGCCCTATTCGTAGACAGGAAGTTGCCTTAACTAGACTAAGGATAGGACATACAAACCTGACACATTCCTATTTGATAAGCAAACAGCTTGCACCAAAATGCCAATATTGCTACGGTACTTTTGCGTACTCCAAGAATGTCCTTATTACGTATAGATTTCAACAAAATTGGGACTCGTACCAAAATTATCAGTGGTTTTAAATAATGACGTTATTTAATAATAATAAATTACAATAAAATCGGTGATAAATTTTCTTTTCGTTTTACGCCTCTAAACTCTAAATAACAGCAAGACTGCCATATTGCCCTCGGGTACTTTCTTATAGATCTCGAAGGACCCACTTATCAAAAATGAATACAGTTATACGAATAAAGCTGAAACAATTATTACACTTATAACAAGAGTAATCTTAATTGAATCAAATCCGATAGAAATTAAATGTACCAAAATCACCAAAAGAAATGTAGTGTGGCGATGAAGAGACAGGCGCTATTCTATTAATCATCCCTTTTTTTTTTACTACGCCTAAGTAACGCCTGCTTGATCAGCTCTTGCAGTCCAATATAATTTTGCTCTCCTTGCATAAGGGCTGTCCATTTCACTAAAGGAACATCTTACGTCCTGTAATGCAGAGCATGTATCAAGACGTTCTCCTGTCATCATATCCAAGGAACACAGAGGGCATGTCGGGCTATCTTTAATATGGATGTGCTTCTAAAGGATATCATGTCCTGTGAGCATTCTAAAGCATGATTCTAAAGCATCCACGGCTTGCCCTCTAGGGCGATCTCTAGGGATCCTGCCACTTTCTTCCAGCAATCTACTCCATCGGTTTCCTTCAATTGTTTGCGCATATTTCTCCTTCAGTGAACTTTGGAGGGTCTGTTTTATAATTCTTTCGTTGAATCCATGCCCAGAGCAATATCTGGTTGGATCATTCCAGAACCTATTCTGGCCAGTTTGTCATTGATAATCATCCTTATAGAAAT